TCTGTATATCATAATAAGTACAAAGAATGCCACCTGGTGGTTCAAAGAGAATTTATTGATATGGACTTTTTAGACCATAGCAGAAAGCGTGAGCACCCGTTACTATGGTTATTTAAGGTGAGGTACAGAACAAGATAGTCACTAGCCTAGTTTGTCAGCTAAAATGGGAAAGTGCCAAGGAATCCGAATTGCGTTTGGGTCAAGCCTGTGCCAGGAAATGACTGTGACGCCTACTGCTGTTGATGCCGGAAATTTTTTCAAGCTAACGTTAGAGACAATGGGTGTTACGGCCCTGGACTCTCATATGGGGGTTGCCAAACACACCGCGTGCAGTACTGCTTGTCAGCATCAACCACCTATTGTGCAGTTCTGTGCACCGGAGAACTCTTCGGTTACTGAAACAGTTTTGTCAATCAGTAATGAAGAAATTTCTACATTAGAAGAATGACAGTTTCTTCTTTTTCCTGTTTTTCGGTGGTCAATAATAAAGTTTTTGATTCGTTACTGCCACCTCTCATTCTGGTTGGTGATGTCACCAAACAATCATTGGGCTGACATGAGAAACTTACTTGATTGATAGATAACTGAGGGATGGAGATATATATATATATATATATATATATATATATATATATATATATATATGGAGAGAGAGAGAAAATGAGAGAGAGAGATAGTTTACTTCAGTAAAGGCTAAAGTATACTATTATTGGATTTTTTTTTTTTGCTGTTTTATAATATAGTTTGTTTCTGTTTAGTACAGCATACTATTTACAGTAAAAAACTGGACTGTATTATGTCTCATATGTTTCATTGACAGTTTTATTTATCACTAAGATATGATTGATTTAAGTTGGATTTTAACTTGCATGTAAGTTGCTTCGATTTAAAAATGAAAATTGTAAAAATAGCTTAGATGTAGCTATGCTACTTTTGCCAAGACGTTTTTAGCTTAGGTTGCTACATTTCCCAGAGGGTAGCTTTTAGTGTAGTTAAGCTACATTTTAAGTAGAGTAGCCAATAGCTTAGCTTACTACATTTTTCAAGTGACTTGCAACATCCTATCTTACTGTGGCTCAACACCAACTCTGCAGGCAGATGTGATGTGGGCCCTAAAACAATCTCTGAGCACCACTCTTACACATCGAATGAGAACATTACAGAGGTTTTCAAAACCATGTTTCCTGACTCTGAGGTTGCAGTTACATTCTTTTGCGCAAGCAAAAAACTTATTACTTAATTCAGATACTTTTATAACTAAAGAACTGACTGACCAGGTCAATAAGGTCAACGGGTTTATGGTCATGTTTGACTTTCAGTTGGACCTTTATATTCACTACTGGGTGGCCGACCACAGTGTTGCGTATGTATGAAATATAACTCATAATTGAAATAAAATGTTTTATTCAATTAAAGTAGCCCACTTGTACATAATAAGTACATAATTATTTTCTAGGGTTAAAACCTTATACAGATTTGACATTTTTCCCCTCATACTTCTGTCGGAATGGGTACAAAGTTGGCATTGAATTTCATTTAAAATGGTATTGAAAAGGTCTTAAAAAGCCTTGAATTTCATTTGGAGGATCCTGGGGGGGGGGGTACCCTGTCAACCTGTCGGCGGGTCAAAATCAGGCTAAAATCATGCAGTCTTATCTCCGCATAAGGTAATTTAGAAATCATACAAACATGTTCAAATCATGATTTCAATAGGATTTGAATTAATTGCACAGCCCCATTCTATACCCCTCGTATTCTTCTGCTTCATGGCTGTGCTGCTTAGACCATCTTTGTAAGTTCATACAGCTGCTCCATGATGGATTCTTTAAGCATTGAAACTAACATTAATAATTTGTCCTTGGACAGTGTGATCCTTGTGGAAATTGGGCATTGTGATCCTGTGAATTTGGTTGCCTAAAACTTTTGACTCCTGTCTTCACTTAAACCACATTACTGTGCGTTAATGCCACCATTAGCAAGAGCGTCAAAATAGCCAAAAGTTATCCATTTTCAACAGAAGCCAGCGGCAAGCTCCAGCTAAAGTGGTGCAGTGCATTTTGGAGTATCAAGGGTTAGGGTTAGTTTGGCTATGTTGCAGTTTGGTGGCAACCTATCCAAATGCACAAGTCCTCGCTTTAGAGGGTCTTCAATAAACTTTGCTTTGCTTGGGAACTTATGTGGTTGGAACCAAAGCTCAGAAGTTGATTTATTGCTTTTTAGGATTCCTAATATGTGATTCAGGATCCACACAAATCATTGTTAATGTGAAGACTTCCAACCAGCTAAAATTTGAAGGGGCAGGATGAATCAGACCAAAGAAAACCCTGTTTCCAACCTTAAGGGGTGCTTTCACACCTGTACATTGATTGATTTATTTTATTTTTTTCCATAACTGGGATTACAATTATTTCACTTTGCTCTTGGTGCGGTTCGCTTTTACACTACAAAGTTTCTAAATGGACCAAAATGGCTAAAATAAGGGTGCTTTTACACTTGATTCAATGCCTGGACCGTACCCAAGTTCGATTGTCCCCCCCCTTGCCACCTTCTCAGTTGATTTTGGTTCACGCTGGTGAACCCCGGTACGCTTGCGTCATTGAGCTGCTGTTTTGTTTACGGCTGATGCAAGATAACAGTCATGAAAGCAAAGCCCAGAAATGGAAAGACGTTGCATCGCGGTCATTCTGCTTTTACTGAATCTTTTAGTTGTGGACCTACAGAAAGCGACTCTCGTCCATCTGCCACAAAAATATTATAAACATTCAGAACATCACACAGTGTCTGCAGAAGCTGTTTTTGGAGGAGATGAGCAGAAATGATCAGTTTGCCCTGGCTCAGTCCCGCTTGTCACCAACTTACTAAACATGACACCAGAGTTCGCATGAACCATACCCCAGACCACTTCTAACAGGCGGACTCTGGTACAGTTCACCGGTGTGCACCCATGTTCAGAAGACACATTCACACTAGCTAAACGTATTGTACTATGACATCAAGTGAACCCAGGTGCGGACCAAAAGTGCTTGTGTGAAAGCACCCTTAGTCACATGCAAGTAAACTCTCGTCACAGTGGTCAGAGTTCCACAGTTTATTTTTCAGAGTCCTGTTGAGCTGTCATGCGTCCTTTATTTTAATTTATGACTGAGCAATAAGACATTATAATCTAAAAGCTGTGCTCTTAATTTTGTATGGTGACACCCACAGACATGGACACCAAATACAAATCAGGGGTAAGCCTTTCTTATACATAGCCATTGGCTTCCACTCTGCAGATCACTTGCATGCCCCCATACTGAGTGTAACCCCAAACTAGAGGTCTGCATTCCCGGGAATACATTTTCGAACAAAGCGCCGGAGCAACTGGTTTAATTTTTGATGGGAGCGGGCGGTCTAACAATATCGCTCCCTCCCTCATGAGCGAGCTAGCATGCGTATGTATGTGTGTGAATGAGACAGCGGGATGCTGCGTTTAGCTTGTGTGCACGAATGCGTGTGTATATGTATGTATGTGTGTAAATGAGAGACAGAGCGTGATGCCCATGTGTGTGTGTCACTTGCTTGGTGCTTATGTGTGTGTGTGTTTATAGAGGCAGCTTGTTATAGGCTGTCTGGACTCTGTATAGCTGGCTGGTTTTCGGTTTTGTTCTCCCCCGACTCTTTAGCGGGAACGGGCGAGGCGGGTAGAAAATGGGGCGGGGCGGGCAGTGGGACAGCAAATGCTGAATATAAGCGGGAGCGGTCGAGTTCGGGCTAAAACTTGGCGGGAGGGAGTGGGATTCAAAATTTAGCCCCGAGCAGATCTTTACCCCATATTTTTCTTCACCAAACGTGACTGAAGGTCACTACAAGGTTCAAATAGGCATTTTGCACTATTTGTGATGATTCAGATATAACAGAGGATACATCAGAAAAATCTACCCTCTGCCACTTTTCCAAATGATCAATTTGTTGAGATAACAACTGGGATCGAAAACAAGACTGTTTTTATTAGGTAGTGTAGTACCTTAAAAACAGCATGAGAGCTGAGTAGTATGTCCGGATTTATAGAATTTAAAAAAACAGTATGTGTGAATTACCCAGATAATCTACTACGTTTGGCGAAATTCTGTAGCGTATCCCATGACATCATGTGACAGGATTCATGAATGGGAGTGAAGCGGCATAACTGATGCGAGTAGGTCGCGTGTGGGGATGTAGTACGTCCGAGCTCCATTTACACTATTTTGTTTGCCCTAACTGTGGCAGGCTCATCCAAAACAATATTCAACACGAAATCTTGTTCACTTCACATTGCGCTGTCAATGCCAATTTAAAGCCCTCCCCCAATTTTAAGGATTTACACAAGAGGTTTCTTTGTTAGTAATTTTACTAGTTTTCTTTCTGTTAGCTTAATCAAGAAGTCTAGGTCTGGTGACTCTTAAATGAGTAGATCTTTGTGACCATACAATAGCCATTTGTGTACAAATTAATGATGAACTAAGCACGAGGCAGATTTATAGATTCCCTTTAGACATCCGTTACCACTTCCTCTGCACAGCAAAGAAGCGTTCTTCTTTGGTGACTTTGCTTTTTGGGTTCTCTGATCAAAATGGCTCTTGGTCAAGGTAATTCGGATCACTGTTGTCAACTAATTTGTACAAAGTTAGTTTGGGTTTGTACGCAGGCAAGTTTCATTTATGCAGATTTCAGAGTTTTATGATTTTCAAAGTAGTCCTGTCACAGATGTTTTCGCACTGCATGACTATCTGGGCCGGCTACTATAATGCTTATCAGCTTTATTCTGCATAAACTACCATCTGGATGTACTTTTTCAATATGTTTTAATTAGTTAAGGGACAAAGTTTGGCAACTTCAATGTCTTACTAAATTTCTAACAAAGTCTGATGTTGCTTGAGTTGGACTTTTTAACAAGTAGATAAATAGCCCAGGATCCATTCGAAAAATGTATTAATCTCATATGATTTGTTTGCCAATTTCAAATATTGTTGATCTTTTTCCAGGCATGTGATGATTCCGCCCCCTACATTCAGTCTGGAGATACAAGCGAACATTCAGTAGCATGCAAGCTAACTCCAAACAATCAGGACAACTGCAAAAGTTTACACCAGGAGATGGGACACCTAAAATTATACGCCAAAACATCTACCAGCAATGTGTATCAACTAATTCTGCAAAATCCTCATATCCAGGACAAACCACCCCTGAAAATCACCTAACAAAGGTCACCATCCAGCAAGCAAACCGTGAACAGAATTTGACTAGTAGCATTCAGGCAAAGCGTGCACAAGAAAATAAGTTTCATCCAATATATACATTGCCTACAGGAATTCAGGACTCTCAGATTATTCTATGGAATGTGCCTTCTAACTGCCAAATATTTGTACCTGTCCAAAACCTAAATCTCCCAGTTGCTCCCACGGATAATCCTCCTAGTGGTTCACATTGTGCCTTTAAATCAAATAGCAGTTTGTATGTGCAACAGAAAACTACCTCCTTGGCAGCTGGCCCAAATATTTCACCACAGGTTAAAGCAAAACCAATAGACACCATAAGTCGTAATGAAGCTAGAAGAGATGTAAACACTATTAACTTGAACAACAGGCAGCAACATGCAAATGCTCCTAATTTGACACCAGGATCATCGAAAACGAGGTTAAGCTTGCCATCTGATCTGAAATACAAGCCAACAGAAAATGCATCTCAAAGTAATTCGTTTAGTGGCTGCTATAACCAGGTAATGGTTCCTGAGAAGGCAACCCATGCTAATGTGCAAGCACTTTCTACGTGTGTACAGAATACTTGGGCACAGAGAGCTATTGCGGTTGTCACACCATTATCTCCAATAGGAACCACCCCTGTTGATGCTACGGACGAATCTGCTAATATTAAAATAAACGCAAGGTCTGTGCAAGATGATGTACAACATCTACCAAATGTTCCACATACTCTGGAGGCTTGCACAAATCTTAGGGATCAAACAGAAAATAAAAATGAACCAACAAGTGAGAATCAACAACCAAAATCAGCAGAGCCCAGGCTGAATGGTGGATGTGGAGCCGAAAGTCCTGTTATAACTGCCAAATCAGTCGTCCAGAGCCACTTTGCAAGTTTGCCGAAGCTTAAACGTGTGGAAGCAGATCCAGAGAAATCCAATTCAGCTCCGATGCAAACTGAGCCAAGTAAAAATATAAATACCTGCACAATCACAAATAACAAAACCGGTGAAGCGGAAACTATTCCTTTTATTAAATGGCCATTAGATCGGTTGCATACCTTAACAAACATGATGCAGCAAATTGAAAATTCGCAACAAAAGAATGTCCACAAAAATGATGCTGGGAAGGAAATCCTAAAGCTTTACTGGAATGGGGATTATCGCAAGTTTTTGGAGGCTGTCCAGACTGGCATATATGAAAATGTAATGGAAGAGGTTTTTCTTTACTGTTCTATGAAAGAGCCTGTGATATTGAGGCAAATTAAAAGTGATGCACGCAACAGAGTTATCAAGGATTTTCAGACTTTAAACCACAACGAAGAGCCACCGAAAACGACATACAAATCATCTTGGTTGAACCTTAATGAAAACGTTGACGACATTGACAAGGAATGTGGATATTCTTGGTTCTATAGGTCTTGTCAAAATTTTACAGAACCGACTCAAAACTATACAACGACGACATCAAGCGAATTTCAAGAAGCTGCTGAAATGCCATCTCCTCCTAGGTTTAAACCAACAGCGGTGGAGAACAAAGTTTTAGAAGAAGCAACAAGAGACAAAAAGACGACTCCTGAAAACTTGTCTGTTGTTTATAATGGCCAATCTCCTTCCGCGTTGACCATTAACTCATCACCAAAACATAACGGTATGGTTACAGTAAAAAACAAAAGTCAAACCAATATTACAAATACTCTGGAGGATGTGACTACCGGTGTGAAGGATTCAGATCAGCAAGATGTCCTGAATGGAATGTCCAGTTCTGAGAATCAATGTTGTAATGATGCTAAAGCCAACCATCTTGTGTTACCAAAATATACCAACCAAAGTGACTGCACAACCTCCCCAAAGCTCAATCGTGAGTTTGCCTTCACCCCGGAGGAAAATTCAGCATCTGCACTTCAAAGCGCATTGCTTCCAGTCACACCTTTAGCTGAACATAATCAGCATACGGTGGAAATGAGGAAAGACGTCGGAGATCAGACATTATCAGACAAAACTTTGGACAGTGAAAGTCTTTGCAAAAAATCTACACCTATGACTGACAATTGCGCAGTGAAGCCTAATGTGGATCATAAACAAGTTATTTCCCAACCAAATACTACAACACCACTGAATGGTTTAGCAAATCTGGTGAGGATAATCAAAAAACGTCAAGAATTATTAAAGTGTCAGAACCTGTCTGGAAAAAACAGCAGTTTAAAAAGAAAGCATCAACCATCGTCACCACCAAGATTGAATGGAAGTTTATGTAATACTGCTGGAGCCAAAAGTCCTGTTTCTCCTAATGGTACATCAGCCCAAAGTGACTGCACAAATCCACTGGCACTTAGTCCTGAGGCTGAAGTACAGTGGAAGTCTGTGCCATTAACTTCAGTGCAAAAAGGTTCTAGTCAAATTTTAATGAACAGTGACTGTGGGACGCATGACACCATTTCAAAACCTGGTCAAGAATCTTCTGTAACCACAAACGAAGAAGAGATCGTTGAGATGGACACTTCAGCTCCTCTTAAGATTAAAGTTCTTCCTCGTGAAATGGCGCAACAATACTTTGAACAAAACATGACTACACCACCAAATAAGACTGATGATAACTACTCCCAAAAGTGCAGTATGTTTATAGAACAAACTACCAGTGAATCAAATACTGTACATCCACTCGACGGCACAAGTCCAGACAATGAGGTGGACAGTTCAGCTTCTTTTATGATTAACGTTCTCCCTCATGAAGTGGCTAAGCAATGCTTTGCTGGTGAATTCATGGAAAATGAAGTCATTTCTTCTGCTTTAGAGAAAAAGTCCTGTCTGTTAAATTCAATCCAATACACAACAACTACTAAAGGACAAATAAGCATGCCGAGGTTGGAAGAGATGGACAAGTGCTCATCCAAAGGTACTGTGGTTTCAGAACAAACTAATGGTCTTGGTGAGGCCATGGCAGGCCTGGATGGCAATCTTTCTAAAGGAACCAAAAGGCCAGTGTTGACTGGATCAATGAACCGAAGTTGCAATGAAAGTCCACCTAAACTTTATCCAGTAATCACAGAACCATGTAAAATTCTAAATGAATCCACTGTCGAAATGCCTGTTCTTGACTGTATGCTTAAGGAAGAGAGTGTTGGATGTAAGACTGATCAAATATATAGTGATGGACTTAACATGGACACAAACGAAGAGATTAACAAGATTGATGCTTTAGACTCCATTCAGATCAGTGTTCTTTCTCATGAAGCGGCTGAACTTTGGTTTGCCGGTGAGGTGGAAAATAAGGATTTGAACAATGACACTGGAGTTCATATTTCCACTAAGGACCAGGATGAATGTCAAGATCTGGAGTTAAATGAAGTAGTCGTCCTAGAAGATGTGAAACCAAAGAGGAGTTCAGGTAAAGAGGAGTTGGATTCTTTCTGTTGTCTTGCTAAATGGTTCCAAACATTAGACTTTGATAATGGCTCATTGTGCATGTGCCATAAAAAATCTGAGTTGAGTGAAAAAGGAAGTAAACCCATTCACGACTCCAGTTTAGATGTACAAACTAATGAAGTAGAGGAATGTGGAATAGAGATTATTTCTGATACCACAGAGGATTCCGATACCACAGAAGATTCTGAAATGGAGTGTTTTGAAATCCAAGAGGATTCTGAAACCAAAGAAGATGATATTCCAAAAGATCCTACCATGGACAGGACAGAGAATAAAGATGTTTCAAGATCTGAAGAGGCTTGTGCGGAAGAGACTGAAACTTTAGAGCAGACAAGAGATGGATCGCCTTTAAAATGTGCAGCAAATGCAACCCTGAATCATAATGAGATTGAGCAAGATGCCCAAGTTGCTGATTTTAAGATAAAGACCAGTAGCGTATTTCTCGCACTATTTGGGTCATCCTCTGGAACAAAAAAAGAAGTTATGCCAACTAAAAGATATAAAGGGATAGAAAATTGTGAAGACCCTCCAGAAACTCTTCAAATCACTTTAACATCTAATGAGAACATTAAAGTGCAAAGAAAGTCCCGTAGATGCAAATCGGTGGAATCAGAAGCTGGTGTGGATGAAAATGTGCCCTTCAAAAACATGTCAAGGTGTGAAAACTTGCCATCAAATCCTATTTCTGAACTCTCCAAAAATGCAATTTCACCAACATCAATCAGAAAAATGTTAAATCCAAATGCCAATGGAAAATTTCAATATAAGAAGCGAAAGAGACAAAATAAGTGTACAACGCAACAAATGTCAATGAATAAATTTGTCATCAGAGGAAAGACCGGGGTATCCAATCTACCGCATCCACTTGCAAATGTACTGAAAAGTAAATATGAGTTGGGGAATCCTGCTTTGATGCCATTGGAGGGAACTGCACTGGAATTTAAAGTATTGCCGGAGTCTTTTAACTTTCAAGATGGAGCTGAACTCGAAATGTCATTAAGTACACAAAATGGTAACTGCTTAGAATTTAAGCCTCTATCTACACATTCTGTGCATAAGGGTATCTAATGTACTGTTTTCAATTCTTGTTCCCTCATGTTTAGCGACATCAGTCCACGACGATGATGAAGCTAAAAGGATGAAAAGTGGAGGTTCAACAGCACAAGGTATTGTTCACAAGATTTGTGGTGTTTACTTGAACTGTAACCTTTATGTAGTGGATGATGAAGTTAAAAAAACAACACATCGCAGGAATTAATTCCCATGTCTGCTATTTCATGTAAAGCCTGGGACACAAAGCTGACATCAAAGAATTAGTGGCAACCAAAACTGACTCGGTCACCTCATGTTGGCTTCAACTGGTCCTGTCTGGACCAAAAAGATGCGTGTAAATGTATTAAATCACTAACGGCCAACTGAAACGAGCATGAGCAATGTATCTTTCCATGCCTGCAGTGGTCTGCATTGTCATTTCAAAAAGCGAAATCAGAACTAGTGCTGGACACATACAAACTGTAGTGGAGTGGGTATTATTTCCACAGTACGTCTCTCACTACAGAGGGATTCACTTGTGCAAAGATTTTAGAAATGCTAAAAAGCAACATTGTTTGCACTTCCTTTTGATTTGCATCATTTGACTGACTTGGTTCTTTCAGTGAGACCGTGATCTCTCATAGCAGGCTGATGCCGATTTTACATAGAGGCTGCATCTGAAATCGCCTACTACTCAGTAGGTGCTGTATTTGAATTTGAATTTACTACTCGACCGTTAGAAAAATATGTTCTATGTAGTATGAATGGAACTCTTGATATACTACATAAGCCATTTTGTCATGATCACGTGACCTACCCATGCCAGCTGTGTCGCTTTACTCCCATTCATGAATTTTCTTGCAGTGCATTGTAGTGCTGCGTTCACACCAGACGTGGAACGCACGTCTTTTGTGAGTGATTTTCATGTAAAGTCAATGCAAACCGAAGCGAATTGCGCAAATGGTGCGGTTCGAATTGAGCGTTTTGCATGTTTGACGCGCGTTTCATGCGAATTGCTTAAGTTCAAAAAATCTGAACTTTAGCGGACATTCGCGCCGCATTAACCAATCAGTAGCTTGCTCTTGTGGGGGCGTGATTGTGACATCCACCTGTTGTTGGAGTCCCGGGGGAAATCCTCCAGCCGACACTGACAAACAGTTAATTAAACTGGGCTCGCTCAGTCAGAAGCACCGCTGAAACCCTCCGTCATTCAGGTTAAGTTTCTGGAGGGGTTTATGTGCTCACAGAGCTGCATGCACCTCTGAAAAAATCTAGTGGACTCAGACACGGCCCTAAACGTACCGACGCTGTTTTTCAGTCTTCATAAATCACATAAACACTGTAAATTTCTCAATAAAATTCATGTTAGCCATTTAGCTATAAAGCTAGAGTCACCGGGTAGACAGAAGCCCTGCCCATCACGCGAGTCTGCGTCTGTTCTGAAGTGAATTTGACACGTAAATGAAGCGGGGTTTGACGCGCGAATGAAGCGAGTAAACTAAAATGTTCACGCGGCTATTTACGCGCGAATAGCTCGTTGCCGGAAGTAGTTGGTCATCTGGGTACTTGTTGCATACTGTTTTTTTGAATTCAGTAGCTGTCTTATTTCAGAGGCTGCATCCTCCGAGGGATGCATTTGAAGGATGCTTTGTCATTGCAGCGCAACAAAGGCTATCTCATTTCAAAATAATTTGATGGCTCTTTCAAATACATGCTTCGTTTCCCAGGTAATTAAGGATACAATCGCTGGATCCTCCGTGACCTCGAACATCCTAAGATTCATTGAGCACTGATAATGGGAGGACATTTTAAAACGCAAACCCCAGATTAAATGTATAAATTAGGTTTTATTTTACTTGGATATCTAAACCTGTTTAAAAACAAAGTGTATGAAATTTCGTACTGAAGAGTGATTTTATAGACAGTTTGCATTTTTATGTGTAAATGTATGGATCAAAGCAACTATAATTTTTAGTTTTGTAAACCTTGCTTTGCCTTCAGATTGCTTAAAATAAGTTTTAAAATCTCTTGGTCATTACATATTTTATAACCGCTTCTTAACGACAGCTGTTACAATTGCTAGGTGACGAGATCTTTCTTCTGTAGGCTAGAATGTCTCATTTCAAAATGGTCGGTTCAGCTTGTGTGGACTTGGAAGGACTTAACTTTGAAGTCTGCATCCTTCGGAGGATGCAGCCTCTAAAATGAGACCCAGCTTATGAATTTGGACATATTATGGCTCGTTTCCAATGACTGGTATGGTACGGTTCGGGTCGGTAGGGGTCACCTTTATCAGGCTTGCGTTTCCACTAGCAAGGGTACCCTTTTGGTGGGCGTGGTGTATGACAAAGTTTCAGTCGAGGTCATTTTCGCTCAAATGTCTACAATAAAGCTGCACAGGTCGTTCACATATCATATGAAAAGCACTTCTCACAAAACAGACGCTTTACACACATAAACACTTCTGTATAAATCTTTAATACTAACTATTCTATTAACAGGATTTGTTTATAACTGCAGATCAATGACGGTGCGAAATGGCCTACTGTAACGTCTGTAATTATATTAAATAATAAATAAATGAACATATATTAACACATACAGACCCTTACAGTCTCCGATATGTTACCAACTACAGAAGAACTACTCAAAGCAGACATTTCGTTATTAATTAGGTTCAAAACAACACAAAGTATAGCCTACAGTCAGTGAAAACCTCTCATCTGTGTCTAATCTTCAGCAGCACATGAAGCCTCTGTTAGAGAGTCATTCCATCATTCCCAGTTCATATTAGTCCAAAAGGTGATAATAAAGATTAAAACAAGGCAGTTTGTTCACGTTTGCTGAAGAAATAACGTGTTCCTTGGCTTCGCCTTTTTTTTTCCGCGCTCCACTCTCGCGTTTGTCCTTTTTTTTCTGAATGTGTCACTCTCGTTTGTCAGCTTCTCACAGCATCGGGTTTCCAAAGGCTTGTCAATAATCAAGTGCATGTTATTATCATCGGCTCAAGAAGTTTGGTTTTTTAGATAGAGATGCGCGGCGAGAGCAAAGAAGAAAGCGAAACCACTGGGGCTTCAGACTGGCTCGTAAAAAAACTACGCGGCACAGGGTAAATCCGCTCTTCTCCATGGCTTTGTGGCTATTTATCATGACGACGACAGGTTTTTTTTTGCAGGATCGACCATGGCTGCATATGCATATATAATTCCGCTGTAATCTCTCGCTGTGTATTTCAAACATGGCGGGTCCTTTGTTTACATTCTGGCTTGTTGAGTCTACGAATAACGTATCTCTGTAAACCAATAGCGTTCAGCTGCGCGTGTAGCTCCACCTTTTGGGACCCTTTCTGCAGTTTGGGACCCTTTCGAAAGGGTCCCGAGAAAGTGGTACGGTACGGTTTGGTTCTGGTGCGTCTTTTGACAGTGGAAATGGATATAAAAGTGTACCGAACCGTAGTGTACCACTCAGTGGAAACGGGCCATTACTCTGCTCGCATACTGTTTTTAGCATACTATATTTAGCGATTTCAGACGAAGCACACTCCCTCTGATATTAGCACCATGACAGGCGATGTATGAAACGCAGAAAACAAACTAGCTTGACAGATTCTCAATGGCTGACCATTGGCTTGGTGTGTCCCAGCCTTAAAGGGTTAGTTAACCAAATGCCTTTGTCCTGAGGGAAAATCGACCTCCTGACATGGGGCAACAGGTCGTCAAACTGGGACCGGCTCAGTTCAAAGTACCGCTGTAAGCATCCGTCATTTAGGCACAGCTTCTGGTGTGTTGTTACAGAGCTGGGTGTACCTTGAAAGGATCTAACTGACCCAGACACCGCTCTGATCAGCTGTTTTTCTCGGTTTAACATCTCATTCGAAAGACTGCACTTACTGAGCAGTATAGAGTCCCCATCCATATACTAGGGTGTTAGGACCCAACTGCAGTTTTTCAGCAAAACCTATGTTGGAATATCAAGCCAATTCCATGCGTGGTTAATAAAAAAAAGGTCTGTAGAGTGTTTTCTTCAATGTCAAAAATATTAGTAATTTATTACATACAAATGAATAATTTGATGACAGAGCTCTGGGTTGCGTTACCCCAATGCAATACAAGAATTACATTCAAGAGGTTCGCAACTAACATACATTTCCTGACTCCCAGCATATATACACAACTGATATTAACAGGTGGAGTTTAATGAAATTTGTCATTTGTCAGTCATTGTTTAGTCCTCCATTGGCCGCACCTTAGACATACTTCCACTTTTTCTACGAATTCTCTGCACAACAAAAAAAGCATACAACTTTCTGTGCTCTGTGTTCAGTTTTAACACCTCTCTTCAGACAGGAAGTTTCTGCAGAGCTGAATTTAATTTTGGACCCACATCTATCTACTTCTGCAAAAATGCTAATTAGTATGCACAGCACTCACAAACAACAGTAGAAGTTCAGTTAATATATGACCCTTACATGACCAATACAAATAATTTTTGATTAAAAGAAAAAGAGACAAAAATAATATTGAAAAAAGATTCCTATTTTCCAACACCTAGCTTTTCTATGTGGTCTGCCATCCAGGTACTGACCTAGCGCAATCCTACTTAGCTTCAGTGGGTGACCATGTGAGAGTTGCATAGAGCTAGCTGCCGGTCAATCTAAAATTGTGTATGAAAGCATTGTTGATGCACTAAGATATCGAACTTAACTTAATCAATGACATGATTGTAACTGCACCGTAAGGCCAGTGTAGGTTTATACAAGAAATGTAATTGTTCGATATTTCCTTAGTGTTTACATATTCATATTTTCAAATTTAAGTTTTATTTTCCTGTTATTGGGATGTCTCATATATACGAGACGTTACTGGAGAAATGATGATGATAATAATAATAATAATAATAATAATAATAATATCTCTCCACATAAAAAGTGTGTTGTACAGTGGATTTTTTTGATCATAGAAAGTCAAATTTTGTTTACTATATTTATTGGGTTAAAAATAATGCTAATTATTCAAATAAGATCATGTCCTTTTTCATAAATACCTTTATAAAAACCTTTATCGTTAAAGAAATCGTTACCGTGAAATAAACTTTCTCATAACGTGACATTAACATTTTGGTCATACTGCCCATCCCTAGTCCCAACTTGTTCAAATATCTTCAAAACAGACCCTATGCCATCAGTGGTTCATGAACACGTGGCCTAAATTGACAAGGAGAAGAAACTGTTGAATAAAATCACCGTGTTTGTTTTATGAACTTATATTCTCATTGCTTAATAATATCCTGTTTTATATAATAGTCTTGTTGGGGGGCTGAGAAAATTTACTGAATATAATTTGTAGAAGTAGTGATGCTCCGATTGATCGGCCGATATTGGCTAAAAATAGCTTGATCGGCTAACCCCAAAAGTGCCGATCAAAGAAGCCGATAATTTGACGTAAATTATTCGCACTGCTTTTTCACAGGTAAACAACAGCAGAGCGGAGCTTACCAGTTGCAACACGAGTCTTTTTTTAAGTGTCCAATAAAGACATAAAGTTAGCCGTTTGCAATGTATGTCGTGATAAAACCCCTTTTAGAGTAACCTAATAAAAATGTTTTGTCGGACACTGCACAGTAGTCTACACTATAATTAATATTATAATTTATTATTTTCATTCTTAATAAAACTAAACAATTGATAAAACGCAAAACCCTTTTTAATGTTTGCTTTCATTTTGACATTGCTAACAGTTGTAATAAGAAACATCCCATTATGCAGCAGCAGTGTCAAGTTGGGACACTTAATCCCTGATTATTAGCCTGCCAAGTCAAGTTTACAGTGTCATTAATGCAATGGGTATAGTGCATGAGTAAAGGGGATTTGCCGCATCAACCTCGCTGCATGTAGGCTAAATAATGTTTAAAAATATGCAATACAAAACTTTAAACATTTATGCTTTTTTAAATAAAACAAAAAGAAATAAGAAAAATATAATTTATACCACTGGTCTGGTGCTGATACTTTATTGTTTGTAGCGAGAAGAAAGAAAAAAAAAAACGGATGAAAACCTGGCCGGGGAGACTGCATGGATTATCTGTTTTTCAGAAAAGATCGTAGACACGACATTGTGAAGGCGTTTATTATACAAAGCAGTTCATGTTTATGATTATTAATATTAACTAATATTAATTGCATATTAATAACTCTTCTCTCTCTAGACTTTGTTTTAGGGCTTGTTCTTGTCGGCACAATATAGCCTAGGCTTATTGCATGTGATTTATTTATCCTTTTCGCAAGTTATTTTTCAATTTTTTATTATTTTTTTTAAGTGGAGAGAATATTATTCACTGGCAAATATGTTCCTCCCGTACCACCAAGAAATAAAGTATAGCCTACCTTAGTTAAATTACCCTTTATGTAAAAATTAAGAAATAACTTATAACTTAATTAAATATTAATTAATAAAACATCCGTATAAACGTGCAGGTTTATTTTTTTACTTTCTTTAATAAAACAACACAATACTGATAAATATTGTAGTTAAATATTAAATAACTTGAACTGATTGAAATCGTATAATAATGATTAAATGTTACATTTTTGAGAACTTAACAAATAGCCTAAATGGCTCTTTACTAATCAGTAATAGTATAAATAGTAATTATTATAAGAAGTACAAAAATATTAGCCTGCTAGTGACAATATAAGTCAAATGTTTAAAAAAACAGCGTAGGTTCTCTCCACCTTGTTTTCTGTTTATATTTAAAATTCTTTGCCAGAAAAACTAACATGGTGACTTTGTCCGGTTTAAGTGAAGACCTAATTGGGATTATAATGTTTCCAGCAATACACGTTCAGACGGTGTGCTTGTAGCGCAAATGCGCAGATCCTGTTTCTTGCTTCTGTTCCGCCTCCCGCATTTCTCGGAAAGCACAACACTTCTACACTGCGGAGCGGCGCATTCTTAACTACCAAATATGTTGCTCCATTTCTCATCAATGTCTTCCATTTTATCACTTTCTCTTTTGTACCTGGCCATTTCTGGAAATGCCTCTGCGATATCTGACTGAATAGCTGGGTGCTTGCGTTTAGAAGTTGATTATAGCCTACGTGACTTTTTTTTTTTCCCTCGCCGCCATCAATCGCCACTAGGTTGCATGGTTCGGGACCCGTGGAGCTGCGCATCAATGGATTTTCTCTTCAGTGTTTGGATTCTCAGCAGTCAATATTAAACCACACTAACACTTAAAAAAACCTACAAAAAGCTTATGATATAATAATTGGTTTACCTTTCTCAGTCGGCACGAATCCAAAATATTCTCAGATGTAAATCGCGGCTAATGTTATATTCTAACAAATGTAGTCTAATAGCCTACTTGGCAACATAACAGTAATTTGTGTTTTAAAGTGTGTGACGTCATGTACTACTGTAGTACTGTACTGCAGTAGTCAACTTTCATGTAGTTTATGATCGCCGCCGCCATCTGCAACCTGGTCTATTGTACAGTTCCTAACAACCATGCTACTGAATACACCCCCCTCTTCCCCCGTTTGTCAACTTTGTTCCTCTGATCTCAGATCCCCGGTCTCCTAGAACTTCAGAGACAAATGTTGGCAGGTATAATCTCGAGCAGGGGTGCCCAAACTCAGTCCTGAAGGGCTGGAATCCTGCAGATTTTACCTCCAACTTGCCTCAACACACTTGCACGGATGTTTCTAGAAAGCCTGGTAAGAGCTTGTAGCTAGCCCAGTTGTCTGATTGCAGTTGGAACTAAACTTTGCAGTAGACCGACCCTCCAGGATTGAGACCCTCCTGGTCTAGATCTGTGTTTCTCAACCATGTTCCTGAAGGACCACCAACACTGCATGTTTTGGATGTCTCATTTGTCAGACCCATTACAGGTCATTCAGTCTCTGCTAACGAACTGATGATCTGAATCAGGTGTGTTTGGTTAGGGAGACATGGAAAATGTGCAGAGCTGGTGGTCCTACAGGAACATGGTTGAGAAACACCGCTTTTGACCACGCCTGCCAACATTTGTCTCCAAAATTCTGGGTTCCAAGCAACAGAGTTGATGAACAGTGGGAGAGGGGGGTGTATTCAGTAGTATGGTTGTTGGTAACTGTACAATAGACTGGGGTGCAGACAGCGATGGCCATGGACCATTGTTGTCTGTGTAGGACGAGTGCTCTCAGATTTAATCTAAAATAACAATTTGTGTTCGGTTTGGAACGACATAAGGGAGAGTATTTAAAGACAGAAAATATTTTTTGTAAACTAACACTTTAACATTGTAGGAGGGAGTTTAACTTCTCTTTAGGAATATTAATAAATATTTAATTATTGTAATGTTACCCTAAATCTGCTTGTATGTCTACAGGTGTGTGGAGTTTCAGCCCCTTGAAGAAAAAGCGCACACAGTCCAACCAGGCCACAGATGTCATCGGTCCGTGTAGCCTCTTTCAAGAATTCAAGAAGAAATATCAGGAAAAAAGGGAAATCACCTTCAAGCAGACTTGAATTGCAAAGAAAGACCCTTTTCCCCCCGATTAAAATTGAAACAAATGGACTTTTGTCATGTTTTTTTACTTCCTGTAAAAACAAGATACCTCAAATGAAATGTTGACACATTTTTAACTGTTTACATGAACATGAAGATTGTGATACATTTTTATATGCATTATTTGCACGATGGTCATCCAGTTCAGCGGCTGCTAATAGCAAAGTTCTCCAGTATTTGTGAGACTGCCAATTCTGAAAACTTGCTGTCATGTAGGGCCTTTTATTTTGTATGTTATGATGTTTGTGATTCTGTTGGTGTGTAAAAATGTGAGTATTTTTGTAGTTTTGTAAAAGTATGTTGTTTTTCTTTTTAATAATAAAACACTTTGTAATACCTGTAGTTTTACTGTTTGTAATTGCTCCTGTTTTTTTAAAGCCTGCCAAAACATGATACATGTAAAATGAAACATTGAAGAAATGGCTATATTCACTGACAATGCTGTGAACAAGAAAACTCATTTGTATGTATTTTTAGGGTTGATGTGTAGGCTAAGTCTTAAGAAAAGGAAAAGGGGGTTTCAAGCACAGCATGTTAGCATGTGTATTATTTATTTTCTGAGTGAATACTAATAACATCACACGTTTTTACCATGATTTACAATGGACATCTACTAAAATGTTAGTGATGATGGATCAATCTATATAGCATAAAATCTTGTCACGTGTCTTTAATGCAAGATTAGCATGATGATATTACAAAGATTTACAGAAATACTGTTAATTGAGTCTTAAATAGTTATACACTGTATAGTCTAGTTCATTTTTCAGCGAAATGATTTATTAATTCAACATATAATACCCTACCCTAATACCTGATTTATTAATCTTCATATAGACTAACGTTACTGAGTTGAGAGGTCACAGAAAGTCTATCTTTAATTTTGCATACATATCTGGTATAGTGAATAACTTAATTTCAATCATATTTTGACCATTTATATTCACAAATGATATTTGAAACAATTCAGCATTTATTTACATTTAATACGCGTTAATTGTTTATATAAAAAAAAAACCTTTGTGCATTTGTTTATCTTTTACAGCTATGTTTGTCGCGTGTGAATGACGTAATTCGCGCCCCGCCTACCAGAAAACCAAAACAATGTGGCAGAGAACATGGAATGTGGAAAGCTGATGCTGTCCTCCTCGAATTAATAAAATAAAAATGCACGGACATTGCTTGTGAATCATATATAGGTGTATAACTTAACTAGCGTTGGAAGGGACCAAACCATGGCTACCATAGATTCCCTAATGAGCTTGTAAGTAACAAAATAAACAGCTAACGTTAGGCTATAGATTAAACTAACGTTAATGCTGTTAATTCTTTATATCCAAATCAATGTACAGGTGTGCTTTTAGCGTTGCTCAGCGTGCTGAGAAATATGAAGACATCAGAATGTTGCCTGCTTCCGTTAAAGACCGATTATTGCGCATTATGACGTCTTACGGCACAGTCACCGACTCCAACATCAGCCAGGTGAGAAATATTTATATTAATAATACATTATACAGTCCACATCATTTGTGTTCTCACGGGTGTATGGTTTGTGTTTCAGCTCGTACACAGTGGAACTCACACACTGGATCTGCAAAACTGCAAAATTTCAGATTCTGCCCTCAAACAAATCAACAGTTTACATTTGAGGACGATTCTGCTCAGAGGATGTGCAGAAATCACATCTGAAGGTTTTTTACTCCCTCAATATATGTTTTTATTTCTAATGTAATTAGTAACAGCTAATATTTTTGTTCACAAAATAAAATATACATTCACCGGCCACTTTACTAGTACTAGTTTTAGTTTTGGTTATACATGATAGCATCAAGCAGTTGCTGTGGATTTGTCAGCTGCACATCCATGATGCAAATCCCCCGTTCCACTACATCCCAAAGATGCTCTGTTGGATTGAGAACTGGTGACTGTGGAGGCCATTTGAGTACAGTGAACTCATTGTCATGTTCAAGAAACCAGTCTGAGATGATTCATCTTTATGATATGGTGCGTTATCCTGCTGGAAGTAGCCATTAGAAGATGGGTAAACTGTGGTCATAAAGGGATGGACATGGTCAGCAACACAACTCAGATTGGCCGTTTCGTTGACATGATGCTCAATTGGTACTAATGGGCCCAGAGTGTGCCAAAAAAATATTCCCCACACCATTACACCACCATCACAAGCCTGAACCATTGATACAAGATGGATCCATTCAAATGTTGCAGCAGAAATCAAGATTCATCAGACCAGGCAACGTTTTTCAAATCTTCCATGTCCAATTTTAGGGAGCCCGTATGAGTTGTAGTTTCTTGTTCTTAGCTGACAGGAGTGGCACCCAGTGTGGTCTTCTACTGCTGTAGCCTATCCGCCTCAAGGTTCGACATGTTGTGTGTTCAGAGATGCTCTTCTGCACACCTCTGTTGTAACGAGTGGTTATTTGAGTTACTGTTGCCTTTCTATCAGCTCAAACCAGTCTAGCCTTTCTCCTTTGACCTCTGGCATCAACAAGGCATTTGCACCCACAGAACTGCCACTCACTAGATAGTCTCTCTATTTTGGACCTTTCTCTGTAAACCCTAGAGATGGTTGTGCGTGAAAATCCCAGTAGATCAGCAGTTTCAAAGTCACTTAAATCACCTTTCTTTCCCATTCTGATGCTCTGTTTAAACTGCAGCAGATCGTCTTGACCACGTCTACATGCCTAAATCCATTGAGTTGCTGCCATGTGTGATTTGCTGATTAGACATTTGCGAAAACGAGCAGTTAGATAGGTGTACCTAATAAAGTGGCCGGTGAGTGTATTTTTTTTTTAACTGATGTCTTATAAAATACAACATAAATACTAGATTAAAATCTTTACAATACTTGAGTGCTTTTTATTTTGTATTTCGATCAAATGACTAAAACAAATAAATTAAAGCTACAATAAATAACAATAAATAACTATAACGGTAAATTAATAGTAATAAATAAGACATTTTATGCATGTTTCTTTGTGTTGAACACTGGAACAAACCAATGAATCAGTAATCAATAAATTAGACATTTCAAAATTGGTATTTATGATAAAAAACAATCTGCTTTTAAAGAGTTTCTGTTAAAGCTAAAAATAGCACAGTTACAATTATTAAATCCATTCAGTCGATCTCTGGGTCTGGTGGGAGCACTTTTAGCTTAGCATAGATCCTTGAATCAGATTAGACCATTAGCATCATGCTCAAAGGTTTCAAAAAAAGAGTTTTGATAATTATTGTGGTTGAGAAAGCCACCGTTCTGATATTCTGCATAAACCTCTTCTTCCGCCTTCTGAGCCTTTCAAGCTACACACTTCAAACTTTTGTCAGACCTTCAAACTGGTCTGACTCGGGTTGCTATATCTTTTCTAACTGATTCGACTTTCAGTTTTCCAAAAAACAACCCAGAAAATTCCCAAAAGTCCCATTAGCTTAACATTGGGTCAAACTTTGTGAGCTCATAATTCTCCATCAGACTGTCCTGCAAACTTAAGAATGGCCTCATCTAACTCAGACTAGCCAGCAGCCAACCATTGAATACCTTTAAAATTCCTAACCACTCCCTAGCAACCAATTTCAGCACCCTAGCAACTGTACCATAGACTTCAATTGTAAAAGACTGTCATTCACTTAACATCGAGTCAACCTTTGTGAGCTCATAACTCTGCATCAGACTGTCATACAGACTAGAGTCTTGCCTCATTCAGCTCAGTCTAGCCAGCAGGCAATCACTGATGAATTTTAAACTTACTAGCCACTCCCTAGCAACCAATTTCAGCGCCCTAGCAAGAGTCCCACAGACTGTGACTAACTATTCTGACACATTCTAAAAGTTTTAACATCCTATTGATGTGCTAATCTGGCTAGAAACATGCTAGCAACAAGCTAGTGACATGATAGTCATGCTAGCACATGCTTACAACATGCTAATTCCTGTTAGAAACAAGCTGATTCATGTTAGAATCATGCTAGGAACACGCTAAAATCCTCCTAATCCATGCTAGAATCGTGTTAACAACATGCTAATTCATGCAAGAAACATGCCAGTAACATGCCAACTCATGCTAGAATGATACTAACAACATGCTAATTCATGCTAGAATCATGCTAATTCGTGTTAGAATCATGCTAATCCGTGTTGGAATCATGCTAATCCATGCTATAATCATGCTAACAAAATGCTAATTCATGCTAGAATCATGCTAACAACATGCTAATCCATGCTAGAATCATGCTAACAACATGCTAATCCATTCTAGTAACATGCTAGTTCATGCTAGAATCATGCTAGCAACTTGCTAATTTATGATAGAATCATGCTAACAACATGCTAGTTCATGCCAGAATCATGCTAACAACATGCTAATCCATAATAGAATCATGCTAGAAACATGCTAAAACATTTTAATTCATGCTAGAAACATGCTAATTCATGTTGGAATCATGCGAACAACCTATTTATTCATTCTAGAATCATGCTAACAGCGTGCTTAGTTATAATAGAATCATGTTAACAACATGCTAATTTGTGTTAGAAACATGTTTATTCATGCTAGAATCATGCTAAGTCATGGAATTATCATGCTATTTCAAACCTCAGACACAGGGATCAACTTTAAAGCTTTTTACTGGCTTGCTTCACTTTCTACATTGGTTGCATTGTTTTCTGCAGGGATGTTAAACATTCTTTTAGCCGACTTGATACCTTTTCAAACTAATTAAACTGCTTCCAACAGGCTTCCTCAAGCCACCATAAAGTTTGTGTTCAAACATTACTATCTAGTTTTTCTATTTAAAGCTTGACTCTTCTGTAGTTACATTGGGTACTAAGAACTATAGAAAATGAAAAGTTACTGTTTTCTAGGTTGATACGGCTGAGAACTGTACTCTCATTATGATTTAATGATCAAGGAACTTTGCTGCCATACCTTGAAAATAGACCCCAGCTAGGTAACAAAGCAACATCATTGCATAAGATGCTAATGGTCTAAACCCATTTTAATGAAGTATGCTATGCTAAGTTAAAAGTGCTCCTGCCAGTCCTGAAGATTGATTGAATGGATTAAAAATGGTAGAGAGGTTGTAAAATGAGCCTATTTCCAAAAAAGTGGAGTGTTCCTTTAAATTGAATCAATTGTTTTAGCTCAGTTTAAATTATTCAGAACGTTTCCTGTAATTCTGTTTCCACCAGGTCTAGAAGTGTTGGCACCCCGCTGCCCTTATCTTCAGGTGGTTGATCTCACGGGCTGCACGGCAGTGACAGATTCAGGGATTCAGGCTTTGGCTCGACACTGTAAATGTTTAGAAGTCATTTCTCTGCGTGGCTGCTCTGC